TGGTAGGCAGAAGCTGTAGGTGCGATCAGGCAGGCAGGCAGGTGAGCGGTTAGGAGCCAGTGGTCCTGGATTGGAGAGGGTGCAGGCTGGGCTGAGGGGACCCCCTATGCACAAATTTTGTGCACCGGGCCTCTAGTTGTTTAATAACATTCTATTTAGCCTCCATATGTTTGCATATTTTGAGTGTTTTTACTGTAGTTGATTTCTAATTTCATGCCATTGTGATCTGAGAAGATGCTTGATATGATTTCATTGTTCTTGAAATAGTAGAGGTTTGTTTTGTGTCCTATCATGTGGTCTAGCTTTGAGAATGTCCCATGTACACTGAGAAGAATGTATATTCTGCAGCTATGGGTTGAAATGCTCTGTAAATGTCAATTAAATCCATCAGACTTAGTGTGTCATTTAGAGTTACAGTTTCCCCCTTGTTGACTCTTTTCTGGAAGATCTATCCAGTGAAGTCATTGTGGTTTTAAAGTCCCCTATTATAAATGTATTGTCAATCTTTTCCTTAAAGAGCTCCAGAAGTTTTTTTTTATAAATATATTAAGTGTTCTTATATTGGGTGCATATATGTTTACCAGAGTTGTATCCTCTTGTCTGATCAATTCCTTTAGTATTATGTAATGATCTTTACTGTCTCTTGTTATGGCCTTCATTTTGAAGTCTATTTTTTTCTGATGTGAGTAATTGTACCCCAGCTTTTTTTTTTTAATTTCTATTTGCCTGGAAATTCTTTTCCCCATCACTTCACTCTCATCCTATGTGAGTGTTTTGATCTGAGGTGGGTGTCTTGTAGACAGATATATTTGGGTTATGTGTTCTTATTCTTTCAGCTTCCCTATGTATTTTTTTAATAAATCTTTATTGTTCAAATTATTATAGTTGTTCCTCTTTTTCCCCCCATAGCTCCCCTCCACCCAGTTCCCACCCCACCCTCTGCCCTTACTCCCCCTCCCACTGTCCTCATCCATAGGTGTATGATTTTTGTCAGTCTCTTCCCGCACCCCCCACATCCCTTTCCCCCTGAGAATTGTCAGTCCATTCCCTTTATATGCCCCTGAGTATTTTGATTGGAGCCTTTAATCCATTTACATTTAAGGTTATTATTGATAGTTCCTTATTAATTGCCATTTTAATTAAGCCATTCTTCTCTCCAGATATACACAGTTATTATTATTACAGCAGCCTTTTCAATGTTTCTTGTAATGTTGGTTTGGTGGTAAATTCCTTAGCCCTTTTTTGGGGGTGCGGGGGGAGCTCTTTATTTCACCATCTATTTTGAATGATAGCCTTGCTGGTTGGGTATAGTTGTCTTGTTTTCAGATCCTTTCTTTTTCTTACCTTGTATACTATATGCCATTCCCTTCTGGCCTGTAGAATTTCTGATGAGAAATCAGTGGAAAGCCTTATGGGAGCTCTTTGTAGGTAACAAATTGATTTTCTCTTACTGCCTTTAAGATTCACCCTTTTTCTTTAATTTTTAGCATTTAATTATGATGTGTCTGGGCATGGGTCTCTTTGGGGTCTTCTTCCTTGGGACTCTCTGTGCTCCCTGAATTTGTTTGACTTTTTCCTTCATCATATTAGGGAAGTTTTGTGCTGTTATTTCTTCAAACAGGTTCTCTATCCCTTGTTCTGTTTCTTCACATTCTGGGACTCCTGTAATGCATTTCATGGTGTCCCACAGCTCCCTTAAATTTTCCCCTTTTTTGTTTTTTCTATTTCACCATTGCTTTTTATTTTTATCATTATTGCTATTTATTTATTTATTCTTTACTATTGAAAGTATTACATATGTCCCCCTTTTCCCCCATTGTCCTCTCTAAGCCTGCCCCCATACCCTAGCCCCAGTCTTCACCCCTCTCATTGTCTATGTCCATTGGTTATGCTTATATGCATACAAGTTCTTTGTGTTTTCTTTTTGGTTCTCTGATTGATTTCTATTCTACCCTGTCTTCTAATTTGCTCATCTGATCCTCTGCTTCCTGCAATCTCCTGTTTATTCCTTCCAATGCATTCTTTATTACTGCTATGTCATTCTTCATTTCTCACTGGTAGTTTTTCATAGTTTCTATACCTTTTCTCATGCTGTTGAACATCCTTGTAATCATCATTCTGAACTCTATATCTGATAAATTTCTCATCTCCATTTCATTATATCTTCTGGAGAATACTTTTTTCTTTCATTTTGGGCTTTTTTTTTTTATCTCCCCATGTTGGTTGACTCTTTGGGTTTGTTTCTAGGTATTAGGTAGACCTGCTACAACTCCTGGTCTTTTTGTAGGGTCTTTATTGCAGGATAATGTCAGAAACTGTTTGTGACTGGGTCTGAGTACCCTGTTTGGAGCTATCAGTAATCCACAGCTTTTGGCTCCCAGTGCTGGGTTTGGGTGTGTTTGGACAGGACTAAGATGCACACCAAGGTCTGCTTTTCCTAGCCCTGCGTCCAGAAGCAGATCAGGCACACTCAAAGCACCCAGAGATCCACCTTTTCCTGCAGGCTGATTGTTATTCTTGGTCTCTTTATGAGACTCAGGTTGTAGCCCACAGCAAAGTGTAAACTCCACAGGGTGGGGAGAGATGTTTTCCAACAGAGAGGGGCAGCTGCTTCCCCTGCCCTCCCCCTGAGAAAAAAGCTGCCTGGATAGTAAAGGTCTGCCTGAGAAAGATATCCTCTACTCTATGGGGGAATGACTCAGCACAGGAAACCAGGTGACTGCCCTCCAAGCTCTATCTCCAGGTGCCCTAATCCTGGATTCTCCTCACAGAGCTTTAGTCCACTCTGCCCTCCTTCTGCAGGAACCCAAGGTGAGTGGTTGCACACAATTTTTTGCATTGGCTCTTTAGAAGGGTGTTTGCATTTCCAGCCATCTCTCCCTGGCAGACAGAAGCCTCACTGCTTTTCACAACTAGATGTCATATGGTCATCTTTCTCAGTTCTGATGCTCTTGGATGGGTACCCAGTGTTGGGTTTAGACCCCAGAATTCTCAGTGGGATCCTCCCACAGCTGAGATATCCCTCCGGATCTTCAGCTGCTGTCTGTGGGGGCCTGAAAAGCCATCTCATGCTTCTGTACTTTTTTCTAGTCTATATGTGGTCTTCATTTTCCATCCTTGGTTATCAGGGTTCTCTCCAGCTAGTGTTCAGATGATTAATCAGGATGGTTTTTCTATATTTTCATTGTAACTCTAGTTTGGTCCTGGGAGAGTGTCAGTATAGCTCCAATTTAATCTGCCACCATTTTGTAATCCTGTATTTTCTTCCTTAATGAACATAAAATGTTTCTTCTGGAGGCTAGAAGCCCAAGATCAAGGTGAAGGCAGGATTGGTTTCTTCTGAAGCTTGTCTCTCTGGCTTATATATGTCCACCTTCTTGCTGCATCCTCACAGTGTGTCTAGATTTCCTCTTCTTCTAAAGACCTGGCATCATGACACAGAACTTGAGGTGGGAAAATAATACAAACATGTCCCAAGACTCTTAGCATCAGAAGTATATAGGCAATGGAAGAAAAATAGGTATAAAATGTGTGGGGGTAGAAGCTCATCTGTGGAAACTTCTTACAATTAGCAGACATGTAAATGCACCTTCTGCATGTGAGCCACTCTCATAGCACATTCATGTGTTTACCAAATAGGAAGCACTCACAGCCCCAGTATCACGTTTAGTATTAAATGGAACATTATAATTCTATGATTTTTGTTAACAAGCTTAATAGTTATAAAATTTCACATAAAATGAGATTGAAATGTCTTTTGAGAAGAATTTGTAAATGAAAATCCACAGCAACAAAAAAGACATTAATTTCATCTTTTGGGTAGGGGACTCAAACACTTTAGTTGAATTGGGATAAGTAAACGATGCACTGTGGTGATAAAGAATTTCACAAAGTAATTTAATATTTTTTAATTGTGAGCAATGTATTATGAAATATAAGGTACTCAAACATTTGTGAACTCTAGTGTAGGCTAGAAGGCAACTGAAATTCAGAAGAGAAGTAAATGTTTCATGACTTTCGTTCACCAAAGGTCTCCAAGTATGTGCCTCTCCAATTAAGGTAGCTACCATTACAAACATTTTGAGATTTTTAAAAAATGTATTATTATTTTTTAAATTTCCAATTTAACTTGTAATAAAATATGTTAATTAGTATATTGCTTTTCCACTAAAGCAGCACACAAAAATCTGAATATGTAATCTCAAGGAATCTGTGCTGAAAAATGTCATAATTAACAAATCACCCAAGTGTTACATGCCATTTACAGCTTACTATTCTCTTCTGGCACCTACCTGCTGTTGTTTCTTATCCTCAGCTTTCATAGCTAGTATCAGGCTTCTAACAAATGTCTGAAGTTTAAAGTATTTTTGCTTTTGAATCTCTAGCTCATTTTCAATGAATCTGACTTCTTCATTCTAAAGGAGAAAACATCAAATGATATAATTACCCTATGCAAGCTGGGACTGTACATAGCTGATGCACAACAAAATTATTAAAAACAATAAAATTAGAGAGACAATGAAGAAGATAAAATTTTAGCATAAAGGAATATAAAGCACAGAAGGAGATCGTCCTTTTATTCAAGGGCTGTTTTTTAAGAAAACCACTAACAGAAAACAATTTGGAAGGTCAAAAATCCAATGAAATCAATCCAGTAAGAGGAAAATCAAGAAACAGTTCCCTTATTAGAAAGACTCTTCCTATATTAAACCTAATTAGCATTTGGATTAGGATTAAGAATAGAGAGTCCAATTAACTCCAAGTAAAAAGCAATTGCAGATTCAGTAACACAGAATGTACCATTCATAAAACCAAATACTGAGAACTAGAAAGGTCAATATATATATATATTTACCAAGGAGAGACTTTAATTATTACGAAAACTTTCTTAAGTAGTTTGCTGAGTCCCCTGTCTTTATGTAAGAGTCTATTACTCAGAAAATATGTCCAAATATAGCACTGTATCCTACTAATTTGAGACCAATTATCTCTTCACTGTTTTTGCTAGTTGTGTAGGACAAAAGCAATAGACTAGGATTTGGGAGGATTTTAGTGCCAAGTTTATTGATAATTGTGTAAACTTGGGAAGGCTATTCTCTGTGACTTTGTTTATTCATCAGTAAAATAAATATAATATTAATACTATTTGGATATTTTAGGTTTGAGAATAAATTTCAAACAAGAAAATGGGCATTAAATGCTCTGAATATATTTAATATTAAAGCTACAGTAATCAAGAAACCAAGAATATGTGGTAATGGCAAAAGGGTAGACATAAAGGTCAGTGGAACAGAACAGAGTGTCCAGAAATACATATGCTGAAAAAGGTAGATATATTTGGTTGATTTTCAAAAAACGTGCTGAAGTAACTCAATGGACAAAGAAAGGGTACTATTTCAAAGAACAGTGGTTGAACAATTGTAAATGTATATTTTAAAAAAGATATCAACCTTGACCTCACATCATAAACAAAATTTAATAAGAAATGAATTATATACTGAAAAGTAAATCCAAAAACTCTAAAACTAGATTTTAAAAAAAGAATATAAAATCTTTGTGACCTTGTGTTAGACAAAGATTCCTCAAGGGGATACAAAAAGCATGAAACCTAAAAGAAAGACTTCATCAAAGTTTTAAAAAGTTTGACCTTCAAAAGATAATGTTAATAATATAAAAATACAAGCTACATATTTGTAAATCAAATATCTGTTAAGGACCTGCATTCAGAACACATAAAGAACTTTTGCAACACAATTATAAGACCAGAAACAAATAAAGAGCAGGCAAAGTCTTTGAACACATACTTTACCAAAGAAGATATGTGAATGACCAATAAACACATTAAAGTACTTAATATCATTTGTCATTAAAGAAATGAAAATTAAATCTGATATTAGATTGTACTACTAACATACTACAAAGGGTAAAGTTAAAGAGACTGACAATAGTACATGCTGATAGCAATGTGGAACAATTAGAGGTCTCATATATTGCTAGTATGAGTGTAAAAGGATACATCCACTTTGAAAAATGTTTTGGCAGTTTCTTATAAAATTAAATCTACTCTTTCCTATCATCTCACTCAACAGTCCTACACTTACCCAAATGAAATAATAACACATGTCCACAAACGACATATATATATTCATAGCAGCTTTATTCACAATAGCCAAATACTAGAAACAACAAGTGATCATCAGTAGATGAATAAACAGATTGTACTCATGGTTATATGACTGTGCCCATTTGTCAAAACTTATATAACTGTATAAGGAAGTGAATTTTATTTTATGGAAATTAAAAAAATGATTAAAAATAAAAAAATAAATTTTTAGCCAGCTTCTTTGCCAAAACACATGGAAATGATCTATAAGTATTCTTTGCAGCTGGAGAATATGTTTCAAAGTACACAGCAAGACCTTTAACAGCATTTTTTCAAAAGTTTCATAAAATACATTAAAATAAGTTAATTCTATGGTCATTTTTACTTATTTTTATTTTTTTATTATTTTTTAAAAAATATATTTTATTGATTTTTTACAGAGAGGAAGGGAAAGGGATAGAGAGTTAGAAACATCGATGAGAGAGAAACATCGATGCCTC